CCGTGAACTTTTTTTTTTTTTTTTCTTAATCGCATTTTTCATCAAGTTTCTTTCAATCCTGCGCCCAGGCCCGTGTAGGAAGTCCATCTTCAGCACCCCATCGCGCTGACCGGGTCTGCTCGGGGCGCTGCGGGAGCGCTACCTGCAAAGATGCCGTTCGGAGCGTCCCGGGGAAAGTTCACGCGCGTGCTCTGCGCGTCGCGAAGTCTTAGGCCATGCCAAGGCATTCGTAATAAACCATGTACCGTAAGGAGAGTGCTTTACTGGAAGTGACTGCTGTTAGCTAATCTTTCTCTTTCGTTGCATAAGGTCAGGATGAATGGTAAGTGTTGAGGGTTTAATTGTAGCGTTGAATCTAGCCTGTATTAAATTCTGTTAAAAAAAAAAAAAAAAAGAAAAAAAAAGGGGGGGGGACATTAGAGGGAGAGGCAGGAAGTGAAAGGCGACATTTTTGTCTTTTGGATTTGTGAGAAGTCGCTGGAGGAATAGATACTAAAATGCTTGTGCTTTCTGATTGCTTCCCTAGTATTTGCAATAGTGCCAAAGCCCCGAAATGCAAGAGTTATCTCAGTTAACCTTCATAGCGTTTTACGGTGGGATCCACCTGTGTTTTCCAAAGGAAACGTAACTTACACTGTGCAGTTTAAGAGGTAAGTCTGGGAGAGTTGGACTTTTTTTTTTTTTTTTCCTCTTTAGGTTTATGTATTTATTCCTAAGCTGTTTCAGAAATGCCCATTTTACCACTGTGTGTGTTTGTGGCATGTGCCCTCCTTTGCAAGATCAGGAGCTTCCTCATTCTCTCCACCTTGGAAAGACTTCCCTTTGGAGCTATATTACAGGGCAGGAGCATGTGCTGCACTTTTTGTATCCAGAGCTGTTTCGTACGCGCTTTCTGGGACGTGGAAGCACGTGCTAATGTTGACTGCTGCTGACTGTGAGCACGTTTTCCCCCGCCACGACGGTGTTACCCGCTGCTCCGCAGCCTTCCTCGGCACCAGCGTTTCGTCCCTTGCCACCAGGGCAGGCTGCTTGTCCGTGCCCTCCGTAAAGATTTCCCGTGAACTGCAGCCAGGCGGCTCTTCGGCTGAGCGCCTCTTAACTTAAGACGCATTTCCTGAGGTCTCCTTTTATCAGGCTTAGTGGGCGTTTGGGTTTTGATTTGCTTTTGCTGCTGCGTCCCTAGGCCACATTCCCTAGCCCTGAGTCTCACCTGCTTCAGTGCTTTGAAAATAAAAAAAACACACGTTGAGTCAAATGTTTCCCAGTCCTGCAGAAATTCCTTAGGGTGGAAAAGGAAGAGTCAGGAAGTAAAGCAGAGCAGATAGCACCCACAGGTAGTGATTGCGGAGGGGAAATCCCCAAACTGATTCCAGCTGGGATGGATGGATGGGTGCGGGCCATTGCAGTTGAAAGGAAGGTTGTTTTTTCTTTTTTTTTTTTTTTCCTCTGAGTGATAGTAGCAATAAGCTATTGAGCACCATGTTCCTTGGTAGGCATTTGGTGCAAAGCAAAAAGCACTGTCTGTCTTGTAACACATGGTTCCCAGTCAGCCCTCATGAGTATAAGGGAAGACTAGGGACAGTTTGGAAAAAAGTCGGAATTAGACAGCAAAGCCAAGCAGAGCAGTGCTCTCTACTATCTGTTGCCTTGTCTAGTATCTACTGTCTTGTCAAATCAGGTTTTGTAGTCGCTGTCAAGAAAAGGACATTTATTTTCTGAATCATAATCTTAATGACTAACTTCACAAAATAATATGCGTATAAAATGCATAATTTGCCTGTATGTACTACTGATAATATATATACATATGTATATAATATATGTGTACATACACATTCATAAGGCCTAATTGGTTGTGCTAACAAACAGATCTGCCACTTTTCTAGTTAATTGAGAGGAAAGATATTTCATCTTTTGCAATTTATGCATCAGACAATTTTTTTTCCCTCTCCCTGCTCTTCCACACAGCATCATTATTCCTAAAGCCACGTTTGAAAACTTGAGCACGAACGTGGAACTCACAGAGTGTGATGTCTCTTCTCTGTCTCTGTATGGAGACTATATTTTACGAGTCAGAGCGGAGTCAGAAGATGAGCAGTCAGACTGGGCGATGGTCAGATTTAAGCCAATGTACGACAGTAAGTATTTTTCTAGTCTTCCATTAAAATATCGTCTGCTGTTAATGCACCCTTGCAATGCAGTCCCATACAGGAAGCTGAAACGTGCAGATCATTGCAAATTTACTTACATTGAGCTATAAATTTTTAGCTGGAATGCTTTTCCGTCTGTAGAAGTAGCTACTATAGTAATTTTCTAAAATTTAAAAGCACGTCTTTCTGGAGGAAGGCAAAATTGTCTGTATAGGAGCTCTTCCTTTCTTAACTACCTTTTAGTGTGGCTCTAGTAAGGCAGAACTTTATTGGAGGCTTAGAGCAACTAAGACAGAGCTGCTCTGTTAGAATAAGAGGAGACTTTAATGGAGAGTTCATTGCACATGCAACTTAGTTGGTAACCCAGCTACTCATGCAGTAATTCAGGTAGTGGCCTAAAAGCATAAGAGAGATGAGGCTTTTTCAAAATATGAAAACATAATATGGAGTGCAGGGATCTTATTCAATAAGACTGGTAAGACATGCAGAAGTAATTCAAAGGTTTCAGTTTTTCAAAGCAATCACAATGAAAGAAACATTAAAACAGGCTTCACTAGAGGGTTTCCTCAGAAAAGCCTCGTGTTGCAATAGCTCTGCTGAGAAGGGGAAATGAGCAATGACAACCTATGCAAATAGCCTTACTTCCTCTGGGAGGGACAACAGCTGGCAAAGGAGAAGTGGGTAAACTTAGTGCATGTGAAATGTAGCCTGTGAAAATATCTGTTATTTAACTGTAAAAAAAAAAAAAAAAAAAAACCTTCGAGCACTTAGGTAAGGAAAGGGTTAATTTATCGTTTACCAATGAGAGGAAATTCCTTTCTCCAAAGTGCATAAAATATCTTGAAGCTTAAAACATGAAGTGTTGCATTAAAATCTCAAATTGACAGCTATGTGAGTTTGGGTTCTGCTGTTCTCTCCTCCACTGTTCTCATATATAGCAATCATTGGACCACCTGACGTAAAAGTGAAGTCAGAATCCGGGTCTTTGCATATGGATTTCATAGGCCCTATTGCTGAAAATGAACCTAACAAGTGGTCTTTAAAGCAACATTATGGCTCATGGAATTACAGAATACTATACTGGAAGAAAGGCAGCAAAAAGGAGGTAACTTCTGTTCACTTGATGTTCTGACTACACTTGCCAGACATGACTGGTATATGTGCTCTTCTTGGTAAAATGCTATACTGATGAGTCTCTGAAAGCTAACAATAGTGAAATAAAATATACATCTCCACAAATCACAATGAAATAGAGTCATTACAGCTGGTATTCAGAGCAGAATGTCAGAGGGTCATGTGGTTAATCAGTATCATGGATATAATCTGCTTTTTGCATAATCAAAAATCGCTGCTATGCTCTCAGAGTTTACTCTCTCAGTTTAGCAGTGCATTTATTTTGCAGAAGTGCACATCCGTGTACTTCACACCCAAAAGCAAGGGTAAGTCTAGAAGCTGTCACATCAGCAGTGTCTAAGAACGTGGCAAAAGGCTGACCTAAATGGCAGCCTCAGATCATTTCGGTATTTGTGCTACAGCAGCCTTTGTGAAACTCTTGGCTCTGAATACCACCACGGTTGGTGCCTAGGTTACCTGTGGTGGTCTCCTGCCTCTCCATCTTCCATCAGACGTCATTTACTTTCTTCCTTTCTCCCTGGCAGATGTGCTCCTTGGCTCAGCAGGCTTTTGAATGCATGGAGGAAGATCATCAATAATGTATTAATTATAGGCTCATAAGGTCTATGAGGAATGCTAAGGAAAGCATTTCAGCTGTAGATACCAATCACAGTATAATTAGTGCTTTGTACTTCAGTTTTCATGTAATACAGCAGGGCTTTAGTGCATATTATTAATGTATCTTTATTTGTTATCTACAGAAGTCCTTGACGTTCCACTCCAGGAGATAAAGTGTCCTTATTTCCCATTAAAAAAAGAAATAAAAAAGTTCAAAAGGGCCAGAAAACAGAACCTCTGCAGCTTGTCTTTTAAAGCGGGTTATTGTGCAGAATGTTGACACGTGGCTGCTACAGAGCAGCTTCACCTCGGAGAAGGAGCCTGGGCTCCTGCTGTGTGCAGCCCCCGTGCGGGCACAGCCTGCCCCTAGGCAGCAAATTGCATTTGCTGTCAGTCTGGATCTTGCATCCTGCGTGCTCTGCCTCAGCTTAAAATACCTTTGCGCATAGCAGCAGCCTTTCTTTATCTCATTTGGCTGGAGAACTGTTTCTGTCTGCAAGGAGATCTCATTGATCGTGTCTCTGTGGCGTGCTTTGGTGCCCAGGATGATATCACTTACTGGATACATACTAGCTAGAGGAGAGATTAATATATCGTTAGCAATTATTTTACATACACAGGGTATTTCCTTCTGCTTTTAAAAGCCTTATCCAGCTGTAGCTGCTGAGGTTTGTACTGCTGAATGGAGTATTAATTATTTAGCTGGTCAATTCACTGGACTCAGGATTTTCATTTTTGTGTGTGTGTTCTTCTGTTCTTCTGTGTGCCAGGTAATTCACCTAGATACTAAGCATAACTCCGAAATATTGTCTCAGCTGGAGCCATGGACAGTATATTGTATCCAAGTGCAAGCAGTTATTCCCGAGTGGAACAAAACTGGGGAGCTGAGCCAAGAGCTTTGTGACCAGACGACGCACAATGGCAAGTAATATCGGAGGCAGCGGTGCTGTGAACGCTGCAGGGAGTGAGGAAGTGAGGATTTCAAAGGAATGTCAGCATGATGTGCAAACCTGGAGCAGAGGGCTGCATTTCTTACTCTGCTCTTGCTCGGTGATCTGTGCATGCACATCTTTAAAACAGGGGTTTTGGGAAACTGAATGAAAGCTACAGGCAGTGCAGCACCTATCCCATGATAGTCTATTCGTCACAGGAGCCTCTAAATTCTTATTCTCTAAACAAGAGTTAAACAGAGTGTAGGCTTTCTGCTGATTCCTCTCTGCAGGTCTGAATTTCCTTTACCATAAGCTGGATCCACTATCATGGCCTTTGTGCCATCTACTTATAACTGAGAGAGGAATTGGACCCTGGGTGGCCACGTGTTTCATTTCGGGGGATGCTGCCGTCGTGTCTCATCGGACTGTGGGTTGCAGCAATAGCCAGGACCATGGTCAGACCCTGTCATCTTAGCAGGGAGCTTTATGTCCCTATTTAAAAGAAAGGATGAAGCCCTGGCTGCTTTGTCACACGGACTGTAGCCTATTTCATGTAGCTTGCACCCTCAGACAACTTGTGTCACTGCCTCAGAGTTTATATAAGTTATCGTGGAGGGGAAGGCATCGTTGGGAAGCCTGGGGAAGATGGAAGGCTAAACTTTTCCTCGATTATTTTTCCTCATACACTTTTCCCACACATATATTATCTGTGAGTAGTGCAGTTGAATTGCAGGTGGGGTTTGGTGATGGTGCTTCTTGTTAATCTGTGGTTAGGCCAGTGCTTAGGAACTCTGAGCTGTTTAATGCATTTATACAGTGATGTATATTCAGATATATTGGTAGATCTGTATTCTCATTACCTATTGCGAAATCCTCATGCAGGACAAGGATTTTTGAAAGGCTTGGGAGTTCAGGAATTTACACATTTTTACTCTCTGCTGTCTTCACTTTCTTGCCATTTTTACACTTTTTTTTAAGAGAAAAAGGAAGCCTATGCTCCCAGTAGTGCCATCTCTTAGTTTATTTAATCATATGTCTCATATTGCAAGTAGAATCGCTGGCACGTGTCACTGCAAATGTCTGAATATGATGGTTATCGGGGCAGGGCCAGAATCTTCTCAGGGGCAGCACGAGAGGCAACGGGCACAAACCGAGACACGGGAAATTCCAATTTCCACACACACACAAACAGAAAATACACTTTTTTTTTTTTCCCCTTCTTTTTGCTGTAAGAGTGGCCAAGCCCTGGAAGAGGTTGCCCAGAGAGGCTCTAGAGTCTCCTTCCTTGGAGATACTCAGAACCCAACTGGGCACCGTCCTGGACAACCCGCTGTAGGTACCCCTGCTTGAGCAGCGAAGTTGGACCCAATGATCCCCAGAGGTGCCTGCCAACCTCAACCCTTCTGTGACTCTGTTGTTCTGTTATTTTTGTTTTGTTTTGTGTGTGTGAGAGTTTGGAGACAAAACGACTTATGTTTGCAGTTAAATTTTTGTAAGGTTAATAAAGCCTTTTTAGTTCCCTAGAAAGTGTGATGTTTTGAAAATAGTACATTCAGAAACTAATAAACAGCAGTTTTAATATTTTCCTTCTGTTCTTGCAGGTGTAACCCCTACTTGGATAATTGTCACTGTTCTTTTGGGATCCATGTTGGCTGCTATAATATTTGTTCCTGTTTGCTTCTTTTCCTTTTTGTTTCTGTATCGACTGACCAAACATGTGTTCTTCCCTTCGTATTATTTCCCACAACACTTGAAAGAGGTTTGTTTATTTGTGTTCTACCTAACATAGTTAAAAACAGCTGTTTTAATAGAACTGCCTGCCTCCCAAAGGCTCTCTGTGCCAAAACTTTTACAGCTTCTCTCATGGCATGTGTACAGAGGAGTGCTTGTTACTGATATGCAAGGCAGAGCAACCATTCTGTTATCTGCTCATAGAGTAAATATTGTGTGTGATAAAATTTGCTGTTCTGCCAAGCAATTTGCACTAAACAGTCATTCAAATAAGGAGAAATTATAATGTTTTGAGTTTGATGTAAAAGGATGAGAGGGCAAGGGTACTCTTCAGTGTGAGAAGGGTGCTAGAATTTAGTTCATTTAATGGTTCATTTCTGGCAATACAAGGTCATAAACTTTGCATGAATGTTACCTCAATTTACATCCATTTTCGTGCTAGAATTTAGTTCATTTAATGGTTAATTTCTGGCAATACAAGGTCATAAACCTTGCAATTTACATCAATTTTTATCAAATTCTGTGGAACTACATAGACACAAGGAAAGAGGTGAAAATCAGACTTCTTTTTTAAGCATACTGATACACAATAAACTCTAAAACACTGTCTTTCTGAATTCTTAGACACAGAGCACTCCAAAATATTATACAGCTGAACAATTCAAAACTTGGCATAGAGTTTATACCTGGAACAATTGTGTAATTTGCAATATGAACCTTTTTACAGCCTGGAAATGGAATTTTTTTTTTTTCAAAGTGGAAGAAGAGCAGGTGTTAACACACAGTTCCTCTTTTTAGCTAGCAAACAACTGAGGTCTGTCTCCACTCTGTCCTTTCAGGCTTGTGATTGCACACTCCTCTCCTGAAGCAAAGTTCCTGAGTTTAGCAAGTGCCAGCTTTATACTTGAGCTAGCCCAAATCCTGTGCTTTATGTTGAGCACACGCAGCAGTAGTTTGCTGAACCTGGAGCTCAGCTGTTGAGAAGCCAAAATCATTGTGATTAATATAGGATCAGGTAGAACTTACCTTACTCCCAGTTTTCTCACAAGAAGGGCAAACTCCTCCGTTTTGGTGCTGCTGGGTGGAATTGGTTAATGAAAACTCCTTATGACTAATAAAGGTGAGTCACACTTAACTAAAGTGACGTTACCAAAGGCAGTAGTTTCACTACCTTGGAGATTGCTGGTTACTGGTAGAACATTTCAAATCACAGTTTAATGGACTTAGACAAGAAATAATATTTTTTTCTGAAATCATAGTGAACAGAATTGCTGATAGAGCAATTTACTTTCTTAGGTACAATGTCTTAAAACAGAAGGATCAGGTCATGGGAAGAAAATCCAGTTGTACTCACCCAGCTGCCACCAAATGAAACAGACTCCCACGTGAGCTGCCAAAATGAGTGGCTGCCCTGTTCTTGCTGTGCTAAGTAGGTGTGTTGCTGTTGTGTTGGTGTTCAAAGTACAGTCACAACACCCTGTGAAATCCATGGAGATTCTTGAGCCTGGTTCTATCTTAATAAGAGAAAAAGGAGTGGGAGGAAGTTGTGGTATTTTAGTACCAAAATTATGTTGTCTTCCTTGATGAATTACACAGCTCTGTAAATCTCCCTCCCTCTCCTTTACTTGCATTAACTGTCATGGTTTATGCTGACATTTAAAGCTACTTGATGTCTAAGCTAACAACAGTTTCTGAGAGGACTGAGAGTTCACATCTCTTGGTGTTGTTCTACAAATCTCTCAGTGGACTCTGCCTTCACCTACAGTCAATTTACCATATTTAGTCTTTCTTTCCAAACAAATCTACTTCAAAGTGAGCAGTAATCTCTGAGATACAATCTTAGAAATCCAGACACTTATGAGTTGATTCCAAGCCTTGCATAACATGTTGGAATGAGCAGAAAAAAAATATATTGTCACTAATCAAAAGTTTCCAAGGATTGGGAAAGCCAAATAAAGGGTAGAAAGCATTAGAAAACATGTTTCTAAGCAGATATGGCAGCAGGTAGGACTGCTGCAGCCTAATTCTCATTTCCTCTTTTCTCCACAGTTTCTGAGCAAGCCTGCTAGTGGTTCACAGTTGTTTTCTCCAGTGCCCCAAGAAGAGCATCTCCTTTGTGACAAGTTAACGGTTATTTCCGAAGAATCCAAAAGCCCAAGCGAGCAGGTTGTGGATGAGGCCAGCGATACAACAGGGCAGCTTCGGGACTCTGAGCAAGAACTACCTGATTTAAAAATCGTACCAGCTTCGAAAGGGGACTAAATGCACTCCTCATACCTCACTGAGACCAAAAGAAAAGCAAATAGGCTATTACGTTTATCTCCTGCGTCCTAAGAGTAAAAATTCACACACAAGGTTTTGCACGTAAGACTTTTCACAGAGTCATACCAATTTTTTAACTACAAGAAACTTGGCTATACGCGAAGAATTAAATGATACATAATTTTTTGCCACCATTCTTAGTGGCTCGGTCTTAAGTTATAGCAATACCTCCAACTCCATTTACTTTTTAAATTAATATCATAATATATAAGACTAGTTAATTTAATGTTGACGTATTATTTATTGCGAAAGCTAATCAAAATGTTCTACTGTGTAAGATTTGTAAAAGAAGATCATATTTTGCAAGAAAATAGCTCATCTTATATTTTTTTAATGTGAAGTTACATGTATTTCTTAAGATATCTCTATTGGTATAACCTCTCTACTGGATTTTTATGTGGTGCTAAATTCTAAAGTTATTCAAAACAAGTTATGTACACCAAATGCTCATTGTTGTGCATTAAAAGGTGTTATTTGTGCTTCATCACCAAGGATAATAAGCAGTGCCAGGTAGCCCTCTGCTTTCCAGTGCAGCTCTCAGCATCTCTGCTGCTGTTTCCATGACTAATTTAATCTTGCCTAATCCACTGAAATCTGTGGTAAAATCTGCAGCTAAAGCAGGATTTAAAAGGTAGAATCATTTTATTTGTCTAGTGATGTACAGTCTCAATTCAAGAGAAGTGCTACATAACGCACACCTGCATAGTGCTGCATATTCGTATCACAGTTATGTCAGTAAACTATTCGATTCTGTCAGCAAAAGTGACTGGCTACAAGTGAAAATATGTGTAAAACAACTTGGTATGTGCATTACAAAATTTATAATCATGGCTTTGAGGTTTTTAAATTATAAATAGTCACCTTTTTGAGAAATATTACAGGAAGAAAACATGAGGAAAATAGGCAGCGATTCCTTGCACCACCCAACTATGTGTAATACTCAAAAAAAGATTTTTGGTACCCCTCTGCCCTGCAAAAATTCACCTCTCAGCGTGTTCCCTATCCCTTCTTCCATGTTAGCTGCCTCTTCTCTATATTCTTTTATTTTTTTCTTTTTTCTTTTGGCCTGAGAAAGGACAAAAAACGCATAGCACAGCTAGAATGGTCAATGTGAGTGCTTGTTGGCTGGTCAGCTGCCATCAGGCAAAAATGATGAGGGTTGAGATTTCCCTGTCTCTTTTTTTCACTCTTAATAGAGCTTTTGTCTACTTGGTCGGTAATTTTCATGTAAGAGTAGGATTTTATTCCCTATCGAATGTGGCTGGAATTGGTCGATAAATTCAAAGGTTGTGATAACAGCACAGATAAGGCAGTCCCATGTGTTGTGCCACTTCCTTACAGATTCCTTAGTAAGCCAAACTGAAAAAGAAAAGAGAAAAAAAAAAGAAAAGAGAAAAAAGAGTGTATTAGTAGACTTTATCCTCTTGGGAACTGGGGGATACAGTCGGTCAGTAATCGGGAAGGAGTACATCTCTGGTATTTTAAGATGCTGCCTTCCCCACATAAAAGTAGGAACTGGTTCCCCACGTGTATTTGCTGACACTGGTTGTTGCAGTATCATGTGAGGAAAAGGGACAGACTTGCTCAGCGTATTCCTTCCTCTTTCAGAGGCTTCAGACACAGGGAAATAAAAGATTTGTCCTTGCAGCTTTGCTTTAACTTTTCTTTAATGGGGACATACCCTCTCCAAAAAAAGCAGCTATTGAAGTTCATGTGAGACTATCTTTAACTTACTGTCTTTAACACCATCAGAAAAGAAGTTATCTGGTGAATTCCAAACTTGAAATTATACCCTGATACTCCACCACTAGCACGAAATAGGGATGAATTCCCCAACTCTTCTTCTGAGCAGGTCACCAAAGTTTCCAAAAAGCCCAGAAACTCTCATAATTCTCGCGACTGTATAGCCATAATCTTGGTGTGCTCCAGTTGCCCGAGAACGACGAACTGACACCACCTTGCTGCTGTTGTCCTAATAGAGGACACTGGGGAAATGAGGGCAGGTGGTTGTTTGTCGCGCAGGACAAACGAGGCCTCCAGGGCAGAGAAATTTATCTGACAGAGACCACGCGGCAAGGGCAGCGAGGCGCTGTGTGAAGCGCTGATGAGGTTATCTGGCGCCTGGCTGCGCTGAGGGCCGCTCCGGCAGCCCGGGCGGCCGCTGAGGCCGCAGGCCGCTCGTGGGCCTGCTCGCCATGCGCTCTGTATTTTTAATGTCTCTTAAAAGATAAATTTATATATTGGATAAATTGGATATATTGGATACATTTATGTTTTGGATGACTCCTGTTTCCTTTGCTATGTATGAAATTCGGTTCTCCTACCACCAGAATGTGGTTTATAAGTAGAAAGACTCTAATAAACTGCCTTCCAGAGCTCCTGCATGTAGTGATGCTTGGAGATGTTGTTCTGCAGTGAATGTGAAGGGTTCCCAGCATGATCCACGATATTGCAGGGAACCTGCCAGAACCAAGCTATGTTCTTCCTGTACGCACAAAAAGATCAATATGTAAAATTTCAGATGTACAACACAAAGACCGAGCACAAAATCCCGCAATAAAGATATGAAGAATTCACAGCACTATGAAATTACAACTATGTGGGGGTGGGGGAAAGAGCATTGCACTAATGAGTAACCACATTAGCAGAGAGAAAAATCTTACCTATGTTTAGAAACTAAGTTTCAAAGAAGATCCTAGGGAATGTGCAGACGTGAAACTTTCACGTGAAGCCAATTCCAGCGTGGCAGGAACACTAACTCACAGGAGACCTGCTCTGGTTTTATCACGTGGCCGGTGTAGAGCTGTCCCCATCTACACCGGGGTATTACCAATACCAGTTATGCCACCCACAGCAGAACAACAAGTGCATCCGTTGGGAGCGAGTTGCCGCCTTCTTCCCTACAAAGACCTCATTGTGGTCAGGCTGATGTGCTGACCTTCACGCAGGAAAAAGCCTGGCTCGCTCCTCACTCCTGGCTCCTCACCTGGGACATTTCTGGTGCCCCTGATTTTTTACCATACTGGCTTAGCCAAGCTAGCTTTGTACTCAGGCTCTGCTAAGCAGCCATTCCTGTGCATATTTTGGATATATATTTTTTTTTCAGTTTTCCCCAGTGTTTTGCCTGCTGAGCAACTTCCAGTCAGATGAAAGGGCTACGTGACAGGAGGTGATACAGTCAGAAATTCTAATTCTGGCCTCATCACATCAATCCCTGAGGCTTCCCTATATTGGACCCTGCAGAAGGCACTGCCTGGGATCCTTCTCCTCTCTTTCCTTCATGACTATGGAGGAAACCAGGTGATTTTGGTGATTTTTCCTCTTCAGCAAGGCTGGCATGTACTGATACCTCTCGCACAGTGTGGGCTCCTTTCTCTGCAAGGAACTTAGGGTTGCAACTGGCACTGAGGCCGGGCCTGGCTACGGGCAGGTACAGCAGTGCCTAGCTTGTAAGCAGCCCTTCAACAAGAAATATAGTGTAAGATTTCCTGGGTTTAAGTTCCTCATTTTTGTTCTGAAGCAGCTTGGGAACCACCATCATTACTTAGCAAAATGCAATTTTCCAGCAGTTATCTGTTATTGCAGGAGCTATTAAAGGGCTTCTGGGCAAGGCCATGCTTCCTTTCTGCTGCACTGCCATTAAAAAAAAAAAAAAGGAAGGTGAAATTAGCTATTTTTAATTTGTAAAATTTGTAAAAGTACTGTTAATAATCAATGGGCTCAGCTGACTGTCTGCATGCAATATACTGGAAGCTGCTTGTACATAGTTCCTAGTACACAATCCTCGCAAATTGGATTTCCTTAAGTAACTTCTGCATGCTTTCAAGCAATTACTGTAAAAGAGCAAAGGCTCAGAGCGATAATCATATCTAAAAGACAAATGAGATGCCACCGGGGAAACACCACAGAGGAGATCCTGGCTCCAGTTGCATTAGTCTGAGATCACTAATGCCAGCATTTCACCCTAGAGAAAGCGCCAGGCCAAAGAAGTTGCTTCAAAACTTCCAGCTATCATAGGGCTCTTAAGCTGCCACTCGTCTCTATCCCTTCTTTCAGCTCCTGTTGTTTGGATCACATTTTTAAAAAGCAGACTGCAGAGTGCTGGAGAAAGAGAGAGACTCTCAGCCCTATGAGCTCTGGGTACAATCTTGGTCCCAAGTGAAGCCCGTGGCACCTTTGCCAGGCAGGTACCTGGAAGTCACAGCTGGAAGTTTGCACATTGTGAGGCACAACAGCCGGTACCAGGAGACTGGGAAACAGCCCCAAAATGAGCACAACTTCCTTGTACCAAGGAGGCACCCCCGAAGACCAGCACTGCAAAGGAATTACACTTAGGAAATGAGAAGGCACCAGCTGGGCCTTATCAAGCTGCAATAAAAGCCACCAAGCAGCTAGTGAGGCAGAAGCGTGAGATAGTATGAGAGGGAATACTGAGATGTTTTGGGAAACTTGCGCTGCTGCTAAGTAGCCTGCCCTGCTCCGAAATCCCCCGGTTCCAGCAACAATAAAGATCTCAGAAACAAATTGTTTGTAACACGATGTTAGAAGGATACAGATACAGATCTGTTTACATGGACAAAAGTTTTCCTCTGTTGTAACATTTTTGTGGAAAATCCCTAAACTATAGCCATGTTGCCACCCTCTTTGAGGATAGATCTCCATTTATGAAGAAGGCAGTGGGGTTTCACGTGGAACAATGCTGGGAAGGAAAAAGAGGCAGGCTTTTTTTTTTCTTTTTCTTCGAATGTGTACTTTATTTGCAAAGTTTTTATTATGAAACCTCACAAAGAGAAGTCTAATGGGGATATATTAGCCTTCAAATATGAAAAAGACTGTTGAAAACAGGAAATGAATAATCTGTTTTATATGTCCATGACATGCAGGAAAGAAATTACAGGACTGCAACAAGCAGTTTTATGAGGAAAAGCTTTCTAATGGTTGCAGCAGAAAAGATATGGAGGATACTGCCAGGAGGTAGCATAAAAACCCCAAAACAAACACCCAT